AACTATTTTTATTATAGTCTGTAAAAACATGTTTCACTTTTTTCTTTCATTTAACGTCATGTTGCCAGAAAAAACAGAAATCATAATAGTCGATGGTATGTATATCAGTCTAGTTTTTCTATCCTATTCAACGATTAAGATGCATACTTGTTTCAAAAAATGTTTATTTCTAATTCCAAAAATGTTTACGGGGACAACGCCCTAGCGAACGACAGTAGTCGATGACGGTGATTGCATGACAATGGGACAATGGTTGCACTGTTTAACCGTTAACCAAATTTCACTTGCTGGGATCACTTCGTGCTCATTGAAAATGGAGACCATGTTTACCACCGACTCTCTTGCAAAATAAATCAGATATATTATTTCGCATCAATTAACAAAACGCATGATTTTTATCGGTCTTCAATCACTGTTTGACGATTGAGATTTGCCGTTTTCTCTGACACACTTTGATTTGAAATTATTAACAAGAGTAAAATCATTGTTATCATCATCGGTAATAACATGTTAACCTTTCTGTTTCATTAAAAAACTCATACATAATTAATGAGCTACTAGGCCAATAGAATGAGCCTATTTAGTCACATGCATGGACCTTTATATCTGATAAAACACTCCTTATTAGTATTCTTTATATAAAGAATACTAATAAGGGTGACCTTTATCAGATATAAAGGTCCATGACCCTAGCAAAGGTYTCRGGTTTGAAAYCTGATCATTGACCAATGCAGGATGTCAACCGATTTCAGTGAACAGMCAAGAGCKSTTCTATTTTACTTWATGCGTATTCAATGTGGGWTGACAAGAGTGCTTTGTAAAGTGATTCGCGCATGATCAGTTTGCCCCATTTATCTCTGAACATATTTGTAYGGCAATTTCTCCAAGAGTTTTAACGGATTTGAGTTTCAAATTAGTGTTGGAGTTTTTTAAGCCGTTTAAAACACTCGAGATCGTGTTTTATCAGGTATAAAGATTCTCGACTTTGGCTCGAATCCTTGTACCTGATAAAACACTCTTTCTCGTGTTTTAAACTATACTTATACATTTGGCAGACTCGACAGAAGAAGAATGTCGTCAGGGTAAGTATAATCAGTCGAGTTTCTCCATCTTATCCATGGTTAAACTAAACAAGAGTGAAATCATTCTTATCGTCGTCTGTAATAACATGGTCACCTCTTCTGTTTTCATTCTAATTATGGCAGAACCACCAGAAAATCATTCCGAAGGTACGTATATCATTCGAGTTTCTCGACATTACTCGAGGATTTATATAATCAAGAGAAAAACTATTTGTATTATAGTCTGTGATAACATTTTTAACTTTTCTCTTTCATTAAACGTCATGTCGACACAAACAGACGAAGTGAACCTTTTGGATGGTATGTATATCAGTCTAGTTTTTCTATCCTATTCAACGATTAAGATGCATGCTTGTTTCAAAAAAAATTTATTTCTAATTTCAAAAATGTTTACGGGGACAACGCCCTAGCGAACGACAGTAGTCGATGACGGTGATTGCATGACAATGGGACAATGGTTGCACTGTTTAACCGTTAACATTTATGTACAAAAAAAAAATTGCAACGCGCGCCTCGAGTTAACAGTCCTTCTGAGACTTCTGAGGAACAAAACTGAATTACGGCTCACGCTATAGAAAATATTCACGACTCACGGCTAATTTTTTCTCATTTTCACGACCCACGGCTTATTTTTCAGCCGTTTCACGGCTCACGGTTCACCCCATTGAGTCCCTCTAATAACATGGTCAACTCTGACCAAATAAATGGTTGTAGGTTGGTCTATTCATTATAATGTAAGCGCTACTTCAACCTAAAAGTTATTTATTTATCAACTCTGTTCTTTCTGTATTTGGCAGAAGATGAATTTGATACGCGCGGCCGCTCCATTGACTCTTATAATGGTATGTATATCATTCGAGTTTCACGACATTACTCGATGATTAAGATAAACAAGAGAAAAACTATTTTTATTATAGTCTGTAAAAACATGTTTCACTTTTTTCTTTCATTTAACGTCATTTTGCCAGAAAAAAACAGAAATCATCATATTGGATAGTGTGTATATCAGTCTAGTTTTTCCATCCTATTCAACGATTAAGATGCATACTTGTTTCAAAAAATGTTTATTTCTAATTTTAAAAATGTTTACGGGGACAACGCGCTAGCGAACGACAGTAGTCGATGACGGTGATTGCATGACAATGGGACAATGGTTGCACTGTTTTTAAACACCTTTTTAACACCTTAAAAGCTGTTTAGATCGTAATAAATAGCGCTTCGCGCGTATTTTTAAACTCCAACTACGTCGCAAATTTCTATTACATTGCACTCAAATTTTCACAGAAGTAACAGTCATTATCGATAATTCTTGTTGATTAATTAATAATTTGCCAAAAAGCGAAGCCATTTGGATAAACGATGCAAAATGAAAACACCTTCATTTTTCTTATAAGTTGATTTTCTCCAAACTCGTCACAGAGATTGTAATAAAATTTTCAGAATCTTTTTTTAATAACAATTGATATACTGACGAAGTTTCAATAAAATCTCAGCCTAAAATTTCGAGTTGTTTGAGCAAAATGATGTACATTCGAACAAATCGAAACTATTGTTATAATTGTCTGTTATAACATTTTTTTATAACTTTTTCTTTCATTTAATGTGATGTTGGTATAACAGAGGAGTCCACTTCAGAAGGTACGTATATCAATCTATTTTCAATAATATCTTACTCCATGTTTAAGATCAAACAAGAGTGAAATTATTCTTATCATAGTGTGTAATAACATGTTAACCTTTTTTGTTTCATAAAACGTCATGTTGGCATATTAAAACAGAAGAAGTCAGCTCCATTTGTATGTATATAAATCTAGTTTTTTACATGTCACTCAACGATTAAGATCAAACAAGAGTAAAATCCCTTTTTAAGGCCTTTTCTTTCATTCGCAGCATCTGGGCCGTCTAATAGACAACGTATGTATATCAGTCTTGTATCTCCATATTGTACTCCATGATTAACGTCAAACAAGAGTGAAATCAATCTTATTATATTCTGTAATAACATGGTCACCTTTTTTGTTTCATTCTACAAAACATCATGTTAACAGAAGCAGATGAATTCATAGCTAATGGTACGTATATAATATTCATACTCCACTTTGAGCTCTTTATTGGGGTGACCTAGGTAGCACGCAGTTGATGTAATGTATTCATAAAATGTATTGTATTCCATTGTTTCTCGTTCTATTGTATTATGTGTTTTGTATTATATCTTTATGAATATATTACATCAA